TTTGTCGACGTCATGCCGGCAGATGTTTCATGGTAGGATGGATAAGGGGCCAATAATTCACGCAGGTTATTTCACAGATGCGGGATATTAGCTCACCTCTGCAATGGTATTCAGGCGCAATATAAGCTCTCATCCTTAGCCGCACTACTGAAGATGACGTGAAGGTATCTCTCACAATTCCAGTTGCTTCACTGCTGCGGTTAAACTATGCGAGCGATCTTTTGGAATATCTACCATCGAAAAGATAGATCTGTTGGAGTCAACGACTCTTCTAAGGGCTTAAGAAATAAACCAGCAGAACTATTATTTGTAATTATCAGAAATCTTGTTTTTAAATCACACGCAAACTTATCAGGGAGCATATGTCCCTTTCTTGGTTTCTATTCAAAATGTTATTATAGTTTGCAAATTTTTTATAGTAAAAGTTAAATCCTTTTTGTTTATCATCGCAGGTAATAGATTTTTGTATCTCTGGGACACCAGTATTAAACGATTATCTCATTTTCACCTTTTTATCAGACTTTGATAATTTACACTGAAGTCATATTTGCTTCTAGGAAAGGGCAACAAAGTGGGTCAAAAAATCAGGCGAAACTGATGGGTTAACCACCAATGGCATATTGATTTTGCACCCGCAGAAAGATTCTTCTAATGGTAAGGATACAATATTTATGTACATTACTGTCATTTTGGTATGGAGTGAATTGGAGTAAATTTAACTGTGATGAGCTTCAGTTTAAAAAACGTAGTACGGAGGAAATCCAACCGATTCCTGATTTATTAGAGCATAGAAAGTCCCCCTTTTTATTTCAGTTTAATTTCCATTTTAACAGGAGCTATTTTTGAAAAGAGATGGTTCATTTCTTTACTTTTACGTCTCATCAATATTCATCTTCTTCATCTTCATCTTTCATCGCCGCTTCTCCTTTCGGGTTACGGAGACTTTTACGTCTCATCAGTATTATTGACTATTTAGTTGGCTGTTAAGTTCATATTTATTTCCTTAATTATTTTGTATACGACAAGACAAAGCATTCAGCTCCTCGAGGAACAGGTTTACAATTGATGGCATAAACCAAATTGCTTCTTTATGCAAAGAAGTGGTAACGATATTAGCGTTCGGTTCAGCCTAGAATTATGTTCTTATGCGCCTTGCTCCAACTGTTTGCAGTTCATGAGTTAGTTTTTAACTAGCGAACTGGACGGTTTAATTTCCTAACTTTTGGAAGGTCACTTGATTTGTGATGGGCATATACCAATTAGAAAGTAGAGGCAACATTTTAAGGGTATAGTTGAGATACCCAGCAGCCTGGTGAAGGAACCAGTGTTTCAATGAACAATCGTGGGAAAAAGAAAATCGTAAGGTACCTCAATTCGACCTTGTTGCTCTGAACCCGTTAGGTCGAAAAACAGTAGGTTGAATTACTGTTCAACATTGCTGTCGCACGACTCTGCGTCAGAGTAAGTAATTGCGTTCCTTCGGAGCGTATAATAACACTTCAACTAAAGTTCGTAACGATGAGGATCAGCCTGTTTGAAAAGTTAGTTGAACATATGCTCTTCGTCTTAGCACTCATGCTTCGTATGTGGCGGTCGAAAGGTAACAGACGTCAACCAGAAGGTCAGCATGCAATGATGATGCAATAATCGAAGCAGTTCTGCGTACAGCCATTTTTGAGACGCTTTAGAGCTTTTTTCGTCCTTTTGCAACGGCGTTGAAATTCCAAGAATGTGTTGGACCTCAAAACCGGAAAAGTTTTGCTGCCGCAAATAGCTTAAGGTGATCCCACAGTTAAGGATTGCAGTTTTCTGTCTTTTCTTCCACATGTCAGTAGCTGTTTCTTTGTATGTGTTAGGAATAGTAATCCTTGCAAAAATGAATTGAAAGCCTGTTCGTCCATTAATTCCAGTGAGTCGTGCGCATCCTTTCCTTTACCATGCAGTTATCTCCTTTTGGTGTTTCAGATTCTCAGTTCTGTAAGTGGTATGAAGTGTCTGTCGATGGCGAGATTTATTCCCTCAGAAAGCCGCGATCGTCTACGGAGCGAGGGGATAAAGTCGAAGGCGAAGCGAACATTCTGCAAGACGGGACACTGATTGATCTTTGCGGCGCTACTTTATTATATAGGACAGCTTTCGGTCTGGCGAATTCTCCGGTGAGCAACCGTTTTTTTTTTGTTTTTTCGCTGACTCAATCTTTAGACTCTTAAAGACTTGGAACACTGTCTTCAGTTGTTGAACGACGGTCGGCCGCAGTGTCCAGTCAGTTTTAATACACTTATTATACCTAAGCAAAAGGCATCAGTTACGACTATAACAGAGACACAGCCGTACGTGTACATAAGCTGTGGTCACGTGCAGGGTTATCACACGTGGGGTCACAGCTGTAACGATGTTCCAAAACACGTCTGTCCCGTTTGTAAGACAGAGGTTGCGTCCTATTTAGCCATGATTTTGTAAAAACATTTTTTATTGCAGTCAAGTGAAATTGTTCAGCTGTGCATGGGAATGGAACCATGTTTTCATCTCGATTCCGAATCGTTTGAATACGCTTTCCTGCCTTGCGGACACATGGCCTCAAAGAGAACCGTTAGGTTAGCGATTTTTGTTTGGATAAAACTATAATGGGATTTGTCTCTGAATGTCGTTGGTTAACTGGGTCATATATCACCTCTCACGTACTATTTTTTAATGATTTTTTTAGGTTTTTCAAGAATCCATACAGCAGCCGTGAGCACAATATAAGGCAGTATTAAACTTCACATTTTTTCCTTGGACACACGTTATCTTAGTAACGTTATCTTAGTTCCAACAGTGAAAATGCTTTCTAAATGTTTGAAACATAATTTGTTCCGTATTTCATATATTAATTTTGGCGTCTCTGATGTTCTAGCCTAGCTAAACTTGAACGATCACGACGGAAACAACAGCATGCTTCTGCTATACTCTTACGTGCGAGCTGGCAGGTCTCATATTTCCTTTTAAGTAGTTACTTTTCCCAGTTGCACTGTCTGAACAACTGTCAGTCAGTTGCTGATCTGTAATGTTTCTTTGATTCATGTGTCTTTCATATATGCGCTTCTGAAATCCTGCATTTCTAATACGAATGTTTTAATACTCATGTTGAATTGTCGGTGAACTCATTCGAGAGAACTGAACAACTGGTCATTTTTCTTGAAGAATATTGATTACAAACACGGATTCATGGATAAGGATCATCATCTGTTTTTCATTGCGATGAGCATGAAAAAATTATTTTCTAGTTGGATCGATCCACTTAACAAATAAATACTGTTGGAATGAAGTAGAATCGCTGCGGATATCTGTTCGTGGCAGGTTAAATAAATAATCTGTGCATTAACATTGATATTAAAATCGGCACTGATAGGAGAAAGAAAACTGAGATTGAAAAGACAGCAGTAACTGCTGCATTTATATATCCGTTGACTTCTGTTTCACAGGTAAGTAGGCGATATATTTGATGCCTCTCTGTACTCACCTGATGACTACTTAAACACCAATCACCATGCATAACTACATGTAACAGTCGATTAACCCTTCAGTCATTCTTTGCTCAGCATACCTTAAAGCCGAATTAAGTTGGCCACGTGACCACTGTGTTATTCTTTTAATATTACCCTGTCCCTCCTAGACATGACTACACCATACTGCTCGTTCCTAAGACATCCGATTGGGTATTTGTCGTTCTTTAATTTTGCCACTTTAATAGTTTTTCTTTATAGCTACTGGTCAAAAATACCCATGCCTCATGGAACTGACAGTTTTTATCCCGTTTGTCCATTTTGTACCACCTTGCTA